TCAAAAATATATGGTTTAACTTTAGCCACCAGCATCTTTACCCCTGACGGCAAATCATATGAAAAGGACATGTTGGAGAATGGTTTGGAGTGGGGGTAGATGAAAAATGAGAGGGGGAGTGAGGTGGAAATAAGGCTACGGTCAGGTCGGGTGTAAAGAGATGATGTGCTGCTGTCAAAGCAAACAGCTTGTGGGGGGATTTGTGGGGTGATTACTGAGCTGGACTCCTCGCATGATGGATGGGACTGGCCATCCTGGACGTTGTCAGCCATTAATTCAGTTAAGGGGGAAAAAATGAGTCCCTTTGTCACTTTGTGTTTTGCAGGTGAATGCAGCTGTCATGAGGGATACTCCCCTGACCCGGTACACAAACACCTCTGTGTTCGGAGCAACTGGGGACACAACGAAGGGTAAGTTCTGTCAGTTTATAGCAAAAAAGCGTAATGCATAGTGCCGTTTAACTATTTCTGTTCCAGGCTGGGGATAATTACTTGAAACCCATAATATACTCAGATTTCTGATATATAAACTGTTAATGCAGGAAGCATGTACAGTAAGCGGATGGTACTGGTAATTACAGAAGATGATGCTGGAAATATGGAGTTTATAGCATAGCTGTTTTAATATTTATATTTTGTTTCATTACAGTCCATGGCCCTATTCAAACCTAGAAAAGGGTTATGACCTTGTTACAGGAGAGCAAGCTCCAGAAAAAATATTCCGGTGAGCAGTCTTTCTATTCATATGTGTGCACAATGATTAACTGTCAGTATATGTTAAATATATGACGTCTGTCTCTATAAGGGCGACCGCAGTTTCGCTGGTATAGTTTTTTTTTCCAAATAAAATTCTGAAAGGAAGGTTCCTCACAAAATGAATTGCCAGAAGGAGTGTTCAAGGGATTTCCCAGCCAAGCCTTTGTGACAGGTCTGACCTTTCCCCTTGACAAGAACATTTGAAATTCCACCTACAGTAAAGGCATTGTAGCTGCACGCTGACAGTCACAGTGGTTCTGTTCGGTACACTCTGAGAAGGACTCGAGGGAGTTTCTGTAAGTGCCCTTGTTCACACCATCCAAGTTTCTGAAGCAGCACAGGTGTTCAGAACTTACTGTCATGATGAGATTGAAGACGGCAGCAAATCTCTTCCAGAAAAAAAACCCCTCAGAAATTCTCTTGAAAACGAATCTCAAAAGTTTTGTCCAGATCATCTACCTTTTTGGTCCAAATCATGTATCTTGAGGTACATGCTCTTCGCAGGTATATTTCTTAGGTATAACAGCTTGTTAACGTGAACAGTCAATACAATACAGCAAATCATGTGGCTGAAAAGCAAAGCCAAAAAGTTCAGTTTCATCACCTAAGCATTTTTGGGTGTGGTTTCGTCGGGGTCAGATGTGATTGTTCAAGCGTCACTGCAAACAGACACCTGTCTGGTATTTTCACACACTGTGGTGTGTAGAGTTTGCAGAGAATGGTGTGATGAACAAAAAACGTCCAGACAGTGGCATTTCTGTGGGTGAGAAGGTGAGAAAGTCTTGTTAATGAGAGAGGTCAGAGGAGAATGGCCAGACTCGTCAAAGCTAACGCGGATGCCACAAGCTCAAAAATAACTCCAGTACAGCACTTCGGTGCTGGTTGACTTTACGTGCCACTGCACATGATTTGTAATGCTTTTGAGTATTTACACTAGTTGGTGAGATCCTCTATATCTCGTTCTGTCCAGTCTGTAAGTCTCTCTGTGTCACTTTGTCTTTTGTTTAGATCCACCTATGGGCTTGGACAAGGGCTGTGGCTTCCAGTAAGCAAAAGCTTTGTTGTGCCCCCAGTAGAGCTGTCAATCAATCCTATAGCTAGCTGCAAGACTGATGTGCTGGTAACTGATGACCCGGGGGATGTTCGGTGAGTATTAGCAGCTTGCACCATGACTAACACCTACTGCCTTGCCGGAGTATGTAGACCATTCAAATAAAAAACAATCAGTGTCACCTGTTTGCTAGCATGTCTCTGACAATTAGAAACTACTGAGTTTAACTTTGCAAGTCTGGAGAAAAACATAACACTCTAGAGTTTCATAGAGAAGTGTCTATTTAGCTGGACTGAGATCTCCCTTCAAAATGCCAGGTGCTCTGAGATACAGTCAAGTTAAGTATAGTTGCTCAAATTGGTCACTTCAGCAGTATGTCAGGTTATTCCTGAATATGCTCATAGCAACAATCCATGCAACAGAGGGAAGTAGGTTGACATGGACTTATCATTTTAAATACATTACAGTATTTCCTCCTGGGATAATATTAATCTCTGTAGTTTTTATGCTGCATACATTTAATGCCATAAGTAAAACAAGATTTAATTTCAATACAAATAATCAAATAATGAGAACGGTATGCATGTACTCAGACACACCTTGGTCACCATCTTGCAAATTAACTTACTTACAGTATATTTTCCAATGATATAGTGTGACCACCATGAGAGATAAAATCTGTTAAAAACTATCAATAATAATAATAATAATAATAATAATAATTTCTTGTGAATTTTGAGTGAACTATTGTATTTGGGAATCATTTTGTACTTTAATTCGTACAGAGACAGCACTTCCTCCACCTTCTTGATGATAATTTTTGAGCAAGCTATGGTCTTTACTGCTTCAGTGGCCTTGTGGAATAGGGTCGCATTCATCAGTGGCACATTTCGGTATTTCACAGAATGTAGCATGTCATCTGGGTTCTGAGGATTCAGACATACTGCTCTCGTCGAACGCTATATTTTGTCTACTACATAGCGCACAAGTATTCAATTTCCCCCCTAAGTATTTCCACTGACATGCGCTCTTCCACATTTTTGACACAAAGATGATTTACACACGTTTAACCATTCTTAACATGAATTCAGCCATTAGCCAAGATAAACTTGTTTATTGTAGTTAATCCATTGAAGCCTAAATACTGTAAATATGAATGTTCATTTTTTTTGTTCTGATTTATTTTTTTTCTTTTAAATGTGTACCATGAACATGTCAGTGTAGTTGTGTACTGAAATCCTTTGGTAATTGTGAGAATTAGCGTTTTCACCTGTCCCATTTATTTGATGCGATTAAATTAAACACTGTTTGGTTTTGAAAATGGGACACAATTTGTGTGACATGTATTACTTCTTAACATTTGCAAAACAGAAGTGCATTTCTCGAAACAATTCGTACAAACAGCACCACATGATGGATCACCTGCAAAAGCCTTAGTTTATCCCTCAAAGTAAATATGTATGTCAATGAACTTGTCAGTGCCACCAGAAAGACAAGTCCCTGTGTTATTGTTCACAAACAACATGGTCAAAAAGCTTAGCCGCCTTGTCAATAGAGCAGTGTACTCATAAGTATTTTCTGATGTAAACTACGGCTAAGGTTTTGGTGATTTTGATGACAATGATTGAAAATGCACAAAGTTGTACATTTTCTGTATGAAATATATCAATTTCAACAGTACAAAGTTACACGTTGCTGTAACATACAAACACACACACATATGTATGCATACATACACACTGTAAATATGCATACATATGTGTGTGCACTACATTATATGTCCAGTATGTAACTGTATAACATAAATTTACAGTATACTATAAAATAAAATGGAAACTGCAACATGAAGCAGTGCAGTAAATATACAATATTACAGGACAGTGCACATTGTTGCATTACATACCTGTTGTCTCTATGAAACTTTTGAACAACTGAGGACACAATTGTTCCCAACATTGGACCGTACCCTTTAACCAGCCTCAGCCATCGTAAGGCCATGATTGAGGATATGGTCCATATTTGTGGCCCTTATTTCATGAGGAACGTGCCTCTGTTCTTGGCCTCTCTTACCGCTTCCTCTGTTTTGCCTCCCTAACCTTCCACCATGCAGCCTTACTCCTTTTCTTCTTAGCGGCTGTTGGCCCTGTTCATTTCCTTGTTGTTCTTCCACTGCCAAATTGTAACATTGTGTTGTGCTTTGTCATCAAAACTTCAAGTTCATGACATGTACCTCTAAGCTATTTTAGAGAACTGATTGATCACTGGTGGATCTAGCACTTTAAACATTTCCCTCTGTTGGTGAAAGTCAAGATTCAACTGACCAAATTAATGAGACTCTGCATTTATAATGAGCACAAGTGACTCGAAGAGCTGGAGGTTGTACAAGTAGTAATAACAATTTCATTTATGATCTGAGAAATGTACCAAAGCCACTGAGAGAAATTATAATACTCGTATGTCAATACTCATATTTAAATTAAGTTACTCCGTCAGTCTGGAGTTTGCTTCACTAAAAACTTCACTCAGCAGCCACCACATTCTGGAGCCTTGTACTGTACTCACTGAGCTTGAATAGATAAAATCTGCAAAATAACACGAATAACAACATTCATCATTAGTGCTGTACATCTCGCGTAGAAAAAGGTTATAATGGCCTGGCTGAAGCCACCTCCACTCCGTGTGTTTGGAGTTTGTTCTCTCCTTGGTTTTCTTCAGATACCCTTTTTCTTCTCTCCCACAATCTGCTGAACCCCATTTAAGTGAATTGCCACTTCTAAATTGTCTGTATTTTATCGTGTATGCGTGTGCAGAGAGTTGCCCTGTTCTGAGCTGCCAGACAAAGGTCCAGTCCAGTGTAAGTGGTTGGTTTATGGATAGATGGATTTCAGTTTGCTCGAGTAGTGTTGATTTATGTTGCATTTATAGACAAGTCTTCTCTACCTTCCCCATGTTTCAGGAATAGTACTTGGTAATGAAATTTGTCATGCATTTTAATTACAGCAATGCTGACTGATTTCTGCAGGACTGACAATAATGTTCATAAAAAGAAGCACCTGAAATCCAGTATCATATAAGTCTGTTTGTTTTTGTTTTTTTGACACAGGAGTGTGAAAAGAATTCCAGGGGTTGGCAGATGTCTGCATTGCAGGTCTGCTTTGTTATAGGCAAGACAAGGCATATAAAGTTTATAGAAATATCACATCGAATCAACATTCACTGCCCGGAATAACAACCCTGTCACTAACTTTAATGTTCATCCATCCACCATCGATAAGGCTTATCCACTTCTGATGTTCACATAAAAATTTTCCCACTAGTATATTATTGGAGATTTAGCATAAAAAAGATGAATCTCATGGTTTTTGGAGAAAATATTTTTTATTACTTCAGTTGGCACATAATGTTATCCTTGTGCCTCTATTTTAAATTAATTAACTGAAGATAAGTTTTATACTGCTGCAAAAAGAGTATGTTTATATGCAATATGTTTCTTTCATGCTTTGTATGTCTATGAAAAAGTGTATTAAGGAGCGCTGTAAACTTTGGCTCTTTGCTCCATACTGCCTTGAAGAAATGTCAGATCTTTCCTGGTCAGAAGGCTAGCAGTGACCTCCACAAGCAAAACACACCTGAACAAAGAGAACTGCATTCTTTTGATGTTTTAATTAAAAAGATGAATGCCTTTTCTGAAAAGCATTTGGAAGACCAGATTACCAGATCGACGTTGCTAATTTTCTCTGCTATCTTTCAGGCTTAGTAAGATTTATTTTCTTTGATCAAACCTTAGATTCAGCCGCAACATCAAGGAATCCTTTGCACTTTTTGCAGTTTGTGCGGATGAGGACCAGCAGGTTCCTCCTAGAGTTATCACACGGCCAACTAATGCTCGTATCACAGGAAAGAGAACATTTTGTTAATATAACTACAAGTATTTTGATAGTATTAAAAAAATGAAACTTTGTGACCTTGTACACCTCATGAATATCAAATATGTTAAATGCCACTATGGAAATATGTGAACTGAGATTCTAGTTTCTGGGTTCCAGCTGGTCTCCTTTCAGAAGTGATGGATATAGGGAATTTAATATATTCTTTGCTGCTGAGCACTGCTGAATGTATCCATAGATTCATGAAGGAAGAAATTCATAGAATTCTTCATACAGAATTCATAGAATTAACTGATAGAATTGATTAGAATAAGTTATTATTTATGAATATAGGACTTGCATATTCACCTGAGTATGTTAAGTTTACAATGAAGGAAAGTTAATTTAATTTCTATAGCACCATTCATACACTGCGGCCATTCAAAGTTCTTCACACATAAGAAAAATACAGAATACAAAGAAAATTCAGATTAAAAAGATATACAGTCAAAGTAAAATGTATGTGAACCCTTATCTGGTTTTCTGCATGAATTGGTCATAAAAAGTGATCTGATCTTCATCTGAGTCACAGGTACTGATATACACAATAAACTTAAGCCAGTAATACACACAATATTCTACTCTTTCATGTCTTTATTATACAAACACATTCAACGTTCACACTGGTAGTGGAAAAAGTCAGTGAACCTTTGGATTTAATAACTGGTTGACCCTCCTTTGGCAGCAATGACCACAACCAGGCGCTTCGTGTAACTGCAGGACTGACCTGCACATCATGCTGGGGGAATTTTAGCCCATTCTTCCCTGCAGAACGGCCTTAACTCTTCCATATTCTTTGGTTGTCTTCTGTGTATGGCTGTTGCGATCCCCTGCAAGTCATTCCTCAGCATCTCAATAGGACTGAGATCTGGGCTCTGACTGGACCACTCCAAAAGGCGAATTTTGTTCTTCTGAAACCACTGTGCTGTGGATTTGCTGCGATGTTTGGGGTCATTGTCCTGTTCCATCACCGAGCCTCTTCTGAGCTTCAGTTGATGGACAGACACCTTAACATTATCCTGGATAATTTGTTGATAAACTTGGGAATTCATTTTCCCCTCAATGATGGCAAGTTGTCCAGATCCTGACACAGCAAAGCAGGCCCAAATCATGATGTTCCCTTCACCACACTTTACTGTAGGGATGATGTTGAAATGTTGATATGCAGT